CTCCCAGGATGACAACACCAGGCCTACTCCCAGGATGACAACACCAGACCTATTCCCAGGATGACAACACCAGGCCTACTCCCAGGATGACAACACCAGGCCTACTCCCAGGATGACAACACCAGGCCTACTCCCAGGATGACAACACCAGACCTATTCCCAGGATGACAACACCAGGCCTACTCCCAGGATGACAACACCAGGCCTACTCCCAGGATGACAACACCAGACCTATTCCCAGGATACTTTGTAATTGCAGAATGACCCACATCAGAGCCCAGCTATTTACCTCATTGGTTGCTAATGTTTACTGAAGGAAGCAATTGTCCAATTACCTCTTTGTTTTTGCAGATAATGTGTTCAGGGAGGTTAGAGCAGAGTGGGGTGGGGGTGGGGTGAGATAATTCACTTTTTTCCCATGAGTTCCTGCCCACAGGTAACTCACCTGGGGCCTTATTTCAGGTCATTACCTTCAGCTCGATCAATCATGTCAGGTCAAGAGAGGGTAATCCATCCTGGGAAAAATAAATATATATATAGTCCGTCATCGCCCTGTGGGGGGTTAAAAAACGTGGGTTGCTTCCTTGCCTCATGCCCACTGTGTTCATCCTGGGATTCGTCTTGCTTAGCTGGTTTGTATAAAATGTGTGAGGGGCTGCTGGGTTTTTGTTTACAAGGTGAAGGGGGAATGCATTTTGGGGATGATCTTAATGTTAGTTCGTGGAGATGTGTGTGTGTGTGTGTGTGTGTGTGTGTGTGTGTGTGTGTGTGTGTGTGTGTGTGTGTGTGTGTTGTGTGTGTGTGTGTGTGTGTTTGTGAACAAATTGCAAGAGCCGCTAAATAAGTGGTTGCTTGAATTGAAACCCAGTAAAGGCAGTGTCATGAAGGCTTGGGAAGGAGCAAGAAGACCGTGAACGGGATATAAACTAGGGATACAAAGGCTACAGACTTCATTCAGAGAGACCTAGGGGAGAGCACAGCGCCCTCTATAATGCCAGAGAGGCAGACATCAACTGAACAAGCTGTGCAGCTAATGCTCATCTGGTAGATCAAAGTGTAACCTTCAGGAATCTCGACAGTCATTCCGGGCCCTTTATACAACATACTTCAGGTCCATCCTGGAGTATGCAGCACAAGTTTGGAACCCGCATCTGAAAAAGCATGTTAAGAAATTGGATACAGTGCATAAGAATATAGCAAGGCTTGTTCCTAAGTTAAGGAGTATGTGCTTAGAGGAGAGGCTAACAGAATTCAATCGTATGACATTGTAGGAGAGAAGAACCAGGGAAGAACATGATAACAACATACAAAATATTCAGGAACATTGACAAGATAAAGAGAGATAGGCTGTTTGAGAGGCGATAAACGGGAACTCGGAGACACCGCTGGAAGTTAAGTCACAGATGAATGAGCCATAGAGATGTTAGGTAGCATTTCTTCAGTGTCAGAGTGGTCAGGAAGTAGAATGATCTTCGTGAGGAAGCGGTGAAGGCAGGCTCCATACTACATAGTTTTATAAAAAGGTACGTCTAACCCACGAGGCTAAGACGAAGTAAATCTGAAGCGTGACAAGTTAAGAGTCTGGTCTAAAATCTTGAGAATCGATCCCTGCAGCCACAAATAGGTGAGCGCGCGCGCACACACACACACACACACACACACACACACACACACACACAATTCTCTGTTATTTACTAGGCACAAAAAAACGCCAAGCACGTCCCAACAAAAATCTTCCATCGGAAAATACAATAATCCCATGACTTTAAAAATTATTTTACTGTTCTAACCCAAGGATCAACTATGGTGATAATCTGACCCTCTTGCCTTGAACTAGGTCAAGGTTATATACATTGACCATTATCTGATGATTTATGTATAGTTGCTAGGGCATTAGGTAATTGTATAAATTACAGTATTAATTATCAGGTAAGAGGTAATTAATGTATAAAGCAGCAGCGGTTGCGGCTGCACCAGCAGCAGCAGCAGGAATAACATCAACAGTAATATTATCAACAACAGAATTGATAACAGGAACAGTAGTAACACCAGCAAAAACAAGAACAGCAGCAGCAGTAACAATACCAGCAGCAGCAGGAACAGTAGCAACAATAATACAAGAACATTAACAACAACAGGAGCAATAACAATGACTACAGTTGGTTTTCAGAACACCTTAGGATCATGCATACCATTGGTACTTCGCAACGCCTTCCCTGCTCTCAGAACCGTTACCAGGAAATACACACACAGAGGTGTATATCACTCAGTGTATATACACTGAGAGATTACTTTAATCCCTGTTTTAAGAATTAAAATATTCTTGAGCAGTGAACAGGTGAGAATGCATCTTCATTGACCCCTTGTGTAGTTGCTAGGCTTTGAATCCAGTTAACCAGTCGACTGACTCTGTACTAATGCAAGACAATCATTGGACTAAATTGAGATGAACACCTTCATTACTTTATATACGTCGACTGACAATGTGGATCGCATTTTCACGGTGTATAATTATCGAACAGGACGATAATCTCTCAATCTTAGCGGGTGGAACAGATGGATCGAATGTTGTACAATAAACACCATGACCACACGGAGATGTAATTACCACCCTGTGTCGAATCCCATTAAATCATCGTTCCTCGCGTAGCCTTGCGTAAGAAAGGGGATTGGAACCCGCTAGTGTGGAATTAGGCCTAAATCCATAATGATAGCGCGTGTCTAAAAATCTACGATAAACAATGAGTCTTGCAAGGTCTTCCTCCTAGGAGGAAGTGTGTGTGTGTGTGTGTGTGTGTGTGTGTGGTAAAACTGCAACGCTAATCAGCTGTAAATGTTAACTAACGAAAAAGATGGAGAGAAGGAATACATGCATTGATTACGCCAAGAATCTGCTGATGTATTATAACACAAATGCAACAACTGGGTATCTTTGTTTTATCGACGTTTCGCCAATAAACAGAGATATCCAGGTGTTGCATTTGTCTTAATTTATCCTCTCGTCGGCAGTGCATACCACTGATATAACGATCCAAGAATAAGTGCACGAAAACGATATCACTTCGACCACTGCATAAGTATAGTGATCGAATTTATATATATATATATATATATATATATATATATATATATATATATATATATATAATATATATGACATTCATTGAGGGTAAGGGAGAGTGGAGGTTGAATATAGATAAGACAACGTTGCCAAGATACGAATGCAGCCCATCTTGTTCGGGGCGGGGAAGAATCCATCCTCCACACTTTATCATCCACTACCCCGTTTTTTGTGGAAGCTTATGAGTCTAAACACTGAAATTAGTGAACATGGGAGGAGAACGCCCGTGAGGGATAGAGACTCGTCACGGAATCTTTAATTACAGAGCGGAATGAGTTAAAATGTAGAATGAGAGGGGAAAGAAGGTAGAGGTGTGGGTACGGCTGTAGGGGTGAGGAGGCACAAGCTTAATAAATACCAGTTTGCGTAGTAATGAATTGATCAGTTTCGTTTACATTTACCTACCCCCCCTCATCCCTCCCCTCCTTCCTTCCTTCCTTCCTTCCTTCCCCAACCCTTCTATACCATCTGGCGTTGTTTCATGGTTGGCGTAGACGCGTGGGGGTGATAAAGAGGGGGGAAGCGTATATGATTACTCAGATATGGGTCGATTACTTTACGGAGTAAAATGTGGCGTTAAATATACTCCAAATGCGTAAACTTTATGAATTATGCTCAAAATTCGTAGACATTATGGCGCGAATTGTGTACCAAGTACGCACAATTCATTGCGTGAAATTTACGTCAAATACACACATGTTTTGTGCCTCGTTTATCTTCATAATATATGCAGTGTAAGTAATAGTACAAGCTATATAAGTCGTATGTAAACTAACTTGTTATAGAAGCGTAGTTTATATAATTGTGTTTTTCATGTGCTGTGTTCCCTTGACTGTGTTCAGTGTTCAGTGTCCTTCATTCTGTTTTGTGCTCAGGGTTCTAAGCTGAGTGTAGACTGCATCTTTCTATATTTAACAATATATTCCGTGTAGCGTTTTGCTATAGAAATATTTTTTTTTCGAGTTACGAAGTAACTGTAATATCCGAAGCTTCATCAACGGCTCAGAATATTTCAAGAATGTGTTCCAAGGTTGTCGGCTTCTGCTTCAAATGCTCTTAAGTAATGTTTCTGAAAGATCACGTCATATATACCTTCAGATGAAAAGAATGGGTAAGGGGGGGGGGGTTGCCTTGATTCTGGTGACGAACTCATGATAAATTAAGGTCCATCTAAGTTTTTCCTTCACTGGTTCAATTTTGGTTGCTTCCCAACACCCCAGGCACTGTATGATGCCCTACGTGTTTGGCGCTCCCTCACATATACTTAAAAATATTCTGTGCCAATTAGTCTATTATTCGCTTTGACATTTGGAATTTATGTAGCAGTGTAAATATTATTGATATCGTATATTATTGTCTCAGTTAAACAGCATACGACACGTCTTTCAAATTCTAAATATCTTTTAATTAGAAAAACATTCTTCATCGGAAGCTCCTTGATACTGGTGGGGGGCTCTTGATTCAAGGAACTGGAGATATACCCACCTTTTCTCTGGATTACCACCCATTCCCGGGCTGTGTGAACCCTACGGGTTTAGATCTTCCCATAAAAAAATAGAAAAAATGTCCTCTAATTGGTAAAAAAAAATTGCAATCCTTGTAAATACCTAACTAGTTGTGTTAACTACTCTCCCTAGCACTTGTTCCGCTGGCTGTGCTGAGTCCACGCCAAGCCTACCACCATACAAATAATTAATTTCCTCTTTACTTCCGGCTAGTCAAACCAGAAACATATTATCTTTATCACTTCTCGCATATTTATATTCATGTATGATGCTGGCTATGGGAGAGAGAGAGAGAGAGAGAGAGAGAGAGAGAGAGAGAGAGAGAGAGAGAGAGAAATATGATAGGAGAGAGAGAGAGAGTTGTGGTGTTGGTAGGCGTGGCAGGGCAGTGGCTGCTGACCTGCCACAACAGTAATGGGCAGATTCCCGGGTGGGTAGTGTACCAGGTTGTGCTTCCTTGTTCTCGCTCTAAACATCCCTATCGCTGATTTCACAGGTAAGTGACTGTTATCAAGGGCCTAACCGGATAAGTGGGCAGCGGGAGGGTGTGTCCTGGGGCTGGTAGCGGCTCTGATACAAGCCAAACAACTGAAGTCTGGCCATTGACAGAGCAAATATGTTTACTTTTTGTTGAACGATGAACTGATTTTTTCCGGTTAGTTCGACCTTATTTGTAGACCGGTGTATGCATCCTCAGGTGTATATATCTCAGTGTATACACACAGCTCAATCCTTAATTTAGGGGTTAGAGTGTCACTGATGTTTATTTATGGATGAAATGCGACTTAATTAATGGCCCACGCTTAGGCGATAGGTTTTAACCTAATTATCTTGTCCAAGCTTAAGTGGTCATAACCTGGACTGTTTTACCTTGAGCACCATTGTTCAACGCTTACAGTCGCTTCTGAAATGGAACCAGTTTTGTAAATATTTCACTCGATTTCGTAAAGAATTTGCCGAATCATACTTTATGGAATGTTACTGGAAATTACTGAGGAATTGTTAGTGATTGTACACGCTATAGTATAGACAAGTCTTTAAAAAGAAATTAATTATTGGCGGTGCTTTTGGTTGCATTATCTGATATTATAGTTACATCTGTAGGATGTAAATTGTATGTCATTCGTATACAATACTGACAAGATGAAGAATTTAGACAAGTGCAACATCTGGGTATCTTTGTAAAGATACCCAGATGTTGCACATGTCTAATTCTTCGTCGGTGTAAATGCATAGTTTACTTCATTAACTGGTTTAGGAATCAGAGCATTCTCATTGTTGATGGTAATTCGATAGGAGTTAAAAATCTACATGTTTTAAGCTTAAAATAATGAATATATGTCAGTGTTGTCAAAGATTCAGGTTGGAAACGGCTGGTTAACGTGGGTCCACACTGTCTTGTATGTGAGATGTTATGTTGTGTTAACACTTCTCTTGAAGACTAGGATGAAGGTTGGGGGGCCATGATGCTAGTGAATTTTGATCCAAAGAATTAGACCCAGCACGATCTCTACTGGGGATAGCATTTTCTCGTAATTACCGTAATAATAATAATAATAATCGTTTGTAACATATTTGTGCATGGTTTACTTGGTTTACATTAGCAAATTAAATGATGTCTGACCTTTTATACGTAAACTTCGTTATAACAAGATATACATTTTTAAAGAAGACAAAGAGACTACAAATCCCCCTATCTTCCATCTCTTAAGGGTTAGTGCCTGGATGCTGAAGGACTCATGACCCAGGAAATTAAAACTATCTTCCACTTCCTCTGATCAACCCTGGTTACCTTTCCGTGTACATCGTAGTGTTCGGGATTACTGGGGAGGGTGTAGGGAGACCTGAGAAATTTAAGAATTTTTACCGTTGATAATATAATGTTTTTAACTGATTCAGGATGTAACTTGGCGTGGTAGTAATTATGTGTTGTCTGTTTTTTTTCCCGTGCTAGTAGTTTTTATCTATTGGTTGTGTGCTTTGTATATAATTTTATTGCCAAGAGCTCAGAGTGATATGCAAGGTCAAAACGATCATATCTCAAAACTATTTCTTTGCCAGGTGCTCTATGAAAACTGCGGCTTTTAACATTTCCCAGTAAACGTAGTAATAATAATAATAATAAAAGATAACGTATAACCCTTGCGGGAGTGAAGAAAATACACTAGAAAGAGCACGAGATAAAATTTCGATCTGCATTGAATCTTATCAAGTCATTCATGACCCTTAAGGGGTTTATCGCTTCCCCATGAATAATAATAATAATAATAATAATAATAATAATGTAATATACGTCGTGTGTTGCTGATATGAGGATCTCACTTTCAAGGATCACAACAGTGCCACGATCGCACGTGCAAAGAAAATGATAGGATGAATAATGAGAACTTTCAAAACGAGAGATGCCAAGCCCATGATGATTCTTTTCAAATCACTTGTTCTCTCTAGGCTGGAATACTGCTGTACATTAACATCTCCATACAAAGCAGGTGAAATCGCAGATCTAGAGAGTGCACAGAGATCCTTTACTGCACGTATAAGTTCTGTCAAGCACCTTAACTACTGGGAACGCTTGGAAGCACTTGACTTGTACTCGTTGGAACGCAGGAGGGAGAGATATATCATAATCTACACTTGGAAAATCTTGGAAGGAATGGTCCCAAATCTGCACACAGAAATCACTCCCTACGAAAGTAAAAGACTGGGCAGGCGATGCAAAATGCCGCCAATAAAAAGTAGGGGCGCCATTGGTACACTAAGAGAAAACACCATAAGTGTCCGGGGCCCAAAACTGTTCAACAGCCTCCCATCAAGCATTAGGGGAATTGCCAATAAACCCCTGGCTGCCTTCAAGAGAGAGCTGGACAGATACCTCAAGTCAGTGCCGGATCAGCCGGGCTGTGGCTCGTACGTCGGACTGCGTGCGGCCAGCAGTAACAGCCTAGTTGATCAGGCCCTGATCCATCGGGAGGCCTGGTCATGGACCGGGCCGCGGGGGCGTTGATCCCCGGAATAACCTCCAGGTAACCTCCAGGATAGTATTTGTGAAGGTTGCGAACATTCGTGAGGAGAAAATCCTTATATTGGGAAGCTGCGTCAGTGGGCGCGCACTCGCTTTGTTGCCTGTGTGAGAGGGTACCTTTTTATGTATAGTGGGTTTAATTAATAGAATGAGAGCACTGGTAATTAAAGCCTCATTATTGCATCTTATATGTTTTGTATTCCTCTAATTAGTTTCCTCCATGTCATAATTTATCTTCCTTATGCTGTCATTTACTCAGGTTTCTGATGAGGCTAATGCAGGTAAGCAGGAGTCTATCCCTAGAGATGTATGCAAGTTTGTAGTTGACAGCAAGACACGCGTTTTTTTATGTGGATATTTACAGTTCTCCGAATTGGCACGAATCGTAAGCTAGGCTTCGTTTGAAAATTCGTGAGGTGTGGAAGAATAAAATTTGGAAACTGCTTCTGTTAGGCTGGCCATACTCCTAACCACACCCACTAGCGTCACATCACCGTACATCACTGATTTTTTTTTATTCCTAATTTCCGTGGTCTGAGAAGCTAGTTTGATAGTCACTAAAGAGTTATCGATATGTAATTCTACAGTCTGCCAGATTCCTTTCATCTTGTGTCCAAGTACCGTTACTTCTTTGTGATGTCATGTTTTACTTTCTTCAGGAGGGAGAGGGTTGGTTGCCTTGGGACTGGTGAAGGGAACTTTGATCAAGGAATTATAGCTGTTCTTTCCTTCCTTGGATCCAACCTTATTGTCTCTTATCGGTTAAGTTCATCATGAATATAATCGTAATATAATTTATAAAGATAATGACATCTCATAGTGTGTGCCAAGATTTACATTGTGTATCTGAATATTTCCCATGGGAAGAGGTACCTTGATGTCGGTGAAGGGATCACGATCCAAGGAAATGGAGCTTTTTCCTCTCAATTGAGGCCCTTGATAGCGAGGAGCTCTTGATCCAAGAAATTGGATCTTTTCCTCCTTGTATCGAACCTAGTCACCCCCATTCCCCTGGCGCTATATGGCCCTTATGGGTTTAGCACTTTCTCCTAAATTTTTAATAATGAAGTTATCCTCCCCTTCCTTGGATTTAACCAGCATTAATTTCCATTCCTCTGACGATGTATGACATTTCTTGGTTTAGCACTACACATTATATATATATATATATGGGGGAATGGAACAGAATTCTTCCTCCGTAAGCTATGCGTATCGTAAGAGGCGACTAAAATGCCGGGAGGGGCTAGTAACCCCTTCTCCTTTATACATTACTAAAATTAAAGAGAAACTTTTGTTTTTCTTTTTGGGCCACTATTTTGGTGGGATATGGCCAGTTTGTTGAAAGAAGAAATTATATATATATATATATATATATATATATATATATATATATATATATATATATATATATATATATATATATATATATATATATATATATTATAATTTTTTTTTCAACAAGTCGGCCGTCTCCCACCGAGGCAGGGTGACCCAAATAAGAAAGAAAATCCCCAAAAAGAAAATACTTTCATCATCATTCAACACTTTCACCACACTCGCACATTATCACTGCTTTTGCAGAGGCGCTCAGAATACAACAGTTTAGAAGCATATACATATAAAGATACACAACATATCCCTCCAAACTGCCAATATATATATATATATATATATATATATATATATATATATATATATATATATATATATATATATATATATATATAAGACTGGTAGACCTCAGCCGCCCGGGGAGTTACTACCGTCCTGAGACAAGTGTGAAACTGAAACCTGTAATTGTTTTACGCTCCGGTAGGATTGCTGGTGTAATTTGTGTCACAAACACGTAAGACGACAGGTTAATCTTACTACTACTGTTTGCGACTGTGCATGTAAATGTGTGTTCACCCAGAATTGAGTTTCCTTTCTAATTTCTTATTAGTATGTATCTTTTAGTGTTTTGTTTCATCTCCATGGGGAGGTGGAGAAGAATGCTTCTTCCGTAAGCCGTGCATGTTGTAGAACGCGACTAAATTGTTAGGAGCAAGGGGATAGTAACCCCTTTGTTTAAATTACTAAAACGCAGAAGTAAATTTTGAAGTTGGGTGTTTGTGTGTAGTACTGGTGAAAAGAAAGACTTAAGGGTTAATGTTATGAGTGAAAAGAAGCTGCATGTTTTAGCTCTAAGAGAAACAAAGCTGGAGAAGGTGAGAATTTCATTGGGAGTCAGTGAAGTTAAATCGGGTATATCCGAGGGAACTAGAGCAAATTAAGTGGTAGCAGTGATATTAAGTGATAAACTATGGGAGAAGAGTGGTATAAGTGTTTCAATTAAAATACATGGGTTAGAATAAGGGCTATGTGTGAGAAGTGGGTTATTATAAGTGTTCATGTTCCTGGGGCAGAGATGTGCGAAAGATAAAAATTTTAGTTTTGTGAATGCTCGAGGAGTTTTAAAAGAAATGAGAAAACAATTGTGGGGGATCTAACTTAATGGAAGAAACTTGTGTAGATTGCATAGTAAGTAGCATTAGAGTGAGGAGGGCAAATGATGATTTGGGGGGGGGGCTGTCTAAAAAAACAATGTATATGAAGAGGTTAGGTAATAGGTAATTCGTATTTTAAGAAAGACGATAAGTACGCGAGATATATGGTGCGTAATTGCAGCAGTTTTCAGACTATATATTAGCAGAGAGGAGGTCGCTGGGTAGACTTATAGATGTGCTTGTTTTTAGAGGGGCCACAGATATATCAGATCATTATTTAATAGTAGCTGCAGTGAGAGTAAGAGGTAGTTGGGGTACAAGGAGACTGTCATCAGTAGTCGCTAGGCTTTAAATCTCACATTTATAATTATTATAAATATTGATATTTATTATTATTATTGGGAGGGCTAAACCCATAGAGGTAATACAGGGCCGGGTTTGAGGTAAGGAAGGGAGCATAGGTCCAGTTCCTTAGTATAGATCAAGAGCCCGTCACCAGTATGAAGAGCCCTCCCTAGTCGTCCGGACTTTAAGTGTATGATATTTTTGCTATCTTGTAAAACACCTTAAACGTTTTTAAATGTATATTTCTTTGGCAGGTGTAATGGGTGAGAGAGATGGTGAGACGCAGGATGGCGAGTCCCGAGATACGGACAAGTATAAAAAGCTGAATGATAATATCTCGCACCAGGAAGAGCAGCAGCAGGAACAGATCACAAAGCAGGCCTCGGAGGAGGAGGAGCAGCAGCAGCAATATCAACAGCAGTATCATCAGCAACAAGAGGTTTTATCGCCGTCGCCACAGGAGCACCAGACCACTTCGCCGCCGCCACAGCAGCATCAGAAGCAGCAGCAGCAACTGCAGGAGCAGCAACATCAACAGCAGCAGCAACTGCAGGAGCAGCAACATCAGCAGCAGCAACATCAGCAGCAGCAACATCAACAGCAGCAGCAACATCAACAGCAGCAGCAACTGCAGGAGCAGCAACATCAACAGCAGCAGCATCATCAACAACAAAATCCGCAAGAGCGGCAGCAGCAGCAACAGCAGGAACAAAATCCGCAAGAGCAGCGGGAACAAAATCAGCAAGAACAACAAAATCCGCAAGAGCAACAACAGCAGCAACAACAACAGCAACAGCAGCAACAGCAGCAGCAGCAGCAGCAGCAGCAGCAACAACAACAACAACAACAGCAACAGCATCGGCATCAACAGACCTCTTTACCGCCACTGCTGCAGCAACATGAACATCAGTCAAGTACATCACAAACACAGCACCAACAATCGTTTACACAGCACCTTCATCCACCGACACACTTTTCCTACTCTCCACTGCAGTACCAACACTTGATGGCCGCCGGTAAGTCAGTTTTATGTCATAAACCATTGTCACCAGTGCAAATTTCCCATCTCACTTAGGCTTTGAAATTCAAAGAGGACAGCTTGATGATGAAGGGCTCTTCATCTAAGGAATTGGGGGCTATCCTCTCCTTCCTCTGATCAGATATAATTTCCTACCATTCGCCAGGTAGTGTATGACAACTACCTCCCATTTTCTTCCTCGGATCGAGCCAGATTATCTCATTCGCCAGGAGCTACATGCCCTCTTCGGGTTTGGTTCTTCCCCATTAATATAATAACCTCCCCCTCCCCTGACTTTACAGAAGCCTATGAGACTTGAGTCACGTGCAAATTACAAGTATTAAAGGCGTCAAACGCCATATAAATACATGAAATGTTTGAGGGAAGCTGTTATTATGAAGGCGTTTACGAGGCTTTATAGCCTAAACACTAAGGCAAGTGACCTGTATTAGCCTAGTAAGGCAACATTGGGCCGCAGTGGGGAGGGGCGGTAGAACCATAGTTCAGTGTGGTAATAACACCCTACAGGTAATAGACTGGACGTGGCAAGCGAGCAAGGGGGATAAAATAGCCTTTTAAAAAGTTGGTGCGGCTGTGTAATAACATTAGTAAACAAAAACGTAGAGCCAAGTGAATTAAGGTTAATGTCCACGACTAGCTCTCGCTGTTTTTTGGAAATTAACTTTTCTATTGAGGGGCAATAGACCCCATGAAGAATGGAAGTCACAATACAGTGGCTTAAACGATTGACAAATAACCCACATTTACGAGAGGAACTGGCCGACGTTTCGGTCTTTTCTGAACTATTTATCAAAATAATGATCCAAGACGGATCGGAACGTCGACAATAGTTTTCTATCAAGTGTTATTTGTTAATAGACATTAAGAGGCAATTGACTCCTTGTTAGGAGCAATAGCTTCGTTGGGAAAGACTCGTTTACTGAGAAGCACCATTGTTTTATCATATGTAAAACATAAAAGGTCATTATTATTTTTCTTCACTAAGCTGGAGCTCCGTGCTTGGTTATCATATTACTAATAAGACTCCAGCCTTCAGGAGTGGGAGGAGCGGGAGATTTGTGCTTAGTATCATATTACTAATAGACTCCAGCCTTCAGGCCCTTCAAGGATGTGCCTTGATGTCACCTCTATGCAAACCTGTTGTACTGCTACTTTCTTTTTTTGTGCGCACGCGCACAAGAAAGCCGCTACTTCGTATTTCTCCGACAGATATGCCCCGAAGATGGATCCTTGTGCCTAAAACGGTACATGTATATGAAACAGGAATGCTAGACAAAGTGAGTTGCTGAGGGATTACTATCATTATATTTATGGATGAAGAGCTAAACCGTAGAGGTAATAGCGCCTAAGGGGATGGAAGGCATTCAGGTTTGATTAAAGGAATTAGAACATAGGTCCAATTCCTTTGGTCAAGGGCCCCTCATCAGCATCAAGGCACCTATCTCCTTTAAGGGGAAAGCTACTTCAACATCCAGCAGTAACCTGCAGACTTTCGGTCCGCTCCTGACAGGACCAGAGACACTGGACCACCGGGGACCGACACTGCTGGGGGTTGTCTCCCTAACTTAAAGGATGACAAAACTTAGCGGGGCAATAGCAAGCCTCTAACCACACACAGCGAGGCCTTCAAAATAGACGAGTTACCTGGCGTTGTCACATTCCTGGATCTTATCAGAGGGGATAAGGGTCCGATCATCAGGAGTAGGATCGAACTTCCATAATTTCACGCAACTACATAATACACATAATTATATATTTTTAACCAACTTAATTCTTTATATATTATAAAATTTTAAACTAACGTCCTGTAGAACCCTTGTGAATGGAACCTGATGTAGGCCAAGACCAAGTTAGGAGACGAGCGATGAAACGTAGTTCTGCGCCCATCCCTTAGCGCCCAACCTTTTTGTTATGCACCCAAGGTCTTAGTACTCTGCTACCTGCTGGTATCCACACATTCATTGAGACTCCTGCCTCACGTTGGGATATGAACCAGCCTGATGTTAGGCATACTAAGGCAAAAGGATAATGTGATTCTTAGTCCCACAGCATGGGTGGTTGATTGATAAGGTTTTAACACCTAGCGACTGCACGAAGATCAGTAGGGCTATGTTTCAACACACCATACAAGAATAATAATAAAAAAATAGGGGCTACGATTAGTGGACGGAGGATCGAACCTCCACCACTTCTTGTGCTAAATGACTCGTGAGAGTTTAATGCTTCATGAAACATACGGTGGCAATAATGCATAAAGGCGAGATTTGAAACACAAACACAAAACAGGCTAAACCTAAGTGAACATGCCCAGCAAATGCGTCACTGTTTACAATGTGGATTTTCTACTTATCGTAGAAAACTGTTAGGTGTCAAAAGATTTTTTTTAATGGAATCTAGAATCTACTTCTGGTAGGCCAGCGGATACAACCGGTTAATAGTCTCACGAAATCGCAATAACACGCCATGAGTTCCAGCCCCACCCTTTCCTTGGTTTTTTTCAATCATTAGTCATTATTTGACAGAGGTCCAGGTCAGGAGATATTTGATCATCCTGACGAATAAACCAGCACCGAGCGAGACTGTCTTTCTGTGTACGTTCTTTTTCTGCCACACCATTACATTGGCAGATACATCGTATTATAAATGATTTATAATACCGACAAATTTAAGAGTAAGACGTATGTAACACTTTCGTATCTTTATTAACGAAACGTTTAGCTTGCACTGCAGACTTCATCAGTCGAATATAGAGAAGAATTACAATCCTGGTTTTTGATTCAGGTTTCTGTACTGGAATAACTCTCCGTAGCTGCTGTATCCATCGTGTAATGAACGTTATCCTTAGCGTCTTAGTCTCCCGGTTCACACCGACAGATTTCAGTACCAGGCGTTCGAAAGCCATCATAGCTATCTTTTCTCCACACTATAAAAACTACTGTACCCAGTTTTATTTATATTTAGAAAAAAAAGGCAATGCACTTAAGGTAAAGATAGATTTTGCGTTAATTTTGAAAGAGCTCTATTTTACTGTAAAATGTAATATTGCATATTAGCAGTCTGTAAAATTTATATATCACTCTTTGCATGAGGAGTCAAGCTTGATGTAAACTTTTTTGACCACTGTCATCTTAGGCGTCTCCTTGATTATACAATTTAATAATTTTTTTTGGTGTGTGTGTGTGTGTGTGTGTGTGTGTGTGTGGTGTGTGTGTGTGTGTGTGTGTGTGTGTGTGTGTGTGTGTGTGTGTGTGTGTGATTTATTTTGTCATTCGCCGTCTAATGTTTAAAACTAAAAAAAAAAAAAATTACTTGGTGTATGTTAGTAAATTCAATTATCTGTTAATCGTTAAATTAGGATAATTTTAATCGTTAAAATATTGTATTTCTGTAACAAACGCCTGTCTTTGTGGTTCCTGCAGGAAATTCTGGTTCCTTGGTGTTGCCCGGGTCGTCTAGCATGACGGGAGGCCCCACACTGCGCCTCCCACCATACTCTCTCATGGGTGTAGATGGCTACAAACACAGTCATCACCCCCACCACCAGGTATGATCCCCCACCTCCAGGTATGATCCCCCACCTCCAGGTATGATCCCCCCACCTCCAGGTATGATCCCCCCACCTCCAGGTATGATCCCCCCACCTCCAGGTATGATCCCCCCACCTCCAGGTATGATCCTCCCACCTCCAGGTATGATCCTCCCACCTCCAGGTATGATCCTCCCACCTCCAGGTATGATCCTCCAACCTCCAGGTATGATCCTCCCACCTCCAGGTATGATCCTCCCACCTCCAGGTATGATACCCCACCTTCAGGTATGATCCCCCACCTTCAGGTATGATCCCCCACCTTCAGGTATGATCCCCCACCTTCAGGTATGATCCCCCCACATCCAGGTATGATCCTCCCACCTCCAGGTATGATCCTCCCACCTCCAGGTATGATCCTCCCACCTCCAGGTATGATCCTCCCACCTCCAGGTATGATCCCCCACCTTCAGGTATGATCCTCCCACCTCCAGGTATGATCCTCCCACCTCCAGGTATGATCCTCCCACCACCACCAGGTATGGCCCTCCCACCGCCAGGTATGATCCTCCCACCACCAGGTATGATCCTCCCACCACCACCAGGTATGATCCTCCCACCACCACCAGGTATGATCCTCCCACCACCACCACCAGGTATGATCCTCCCACCACCACCAGGTATGATCCTCCCACCACCACCAGGTATGATCCTCCCACCACCACCAGGTATGATCCTCCCACCACCACCACCAGGTATGATCCTCCCACCACCACCAGGTATGATCCTCCCACCACCACCACCAGGTATGATCCTCCCACCACCACCAGGTATGATCCTCCCACCACCACCACCAGGTATGATCCTCCCACCACCACCAGGTATGATCCTCCCACCACCACCACCAGGTATGATCCTCCCACCACCACCAGGTATGATCCCCCACCACCACCAGGTATGATCCTCCCACCACCACCACCAGGTATGATCCTCCCACCACCACCAGGTATGATCCTCCCACCACCACCAGGTATGATCCTCCCACCACCACCACCAGGTATGATCCTCCCACCACCACCAGGTATGATCCTCCACCACCACCACCAGGTATGATCCTCCCACCACCACCAGGTATGATCCTCCCACCACCACCACCAGGTATGATCCTCCCACCACCACCAGGTATGATCCTCCCACCACCACCAGGTATGTTCCTCCCACCACCACCACCAGGTATGATCCTCCCACCACCACCAGGTATGATCCTCCCACCACCACCACCAGGTATGATCCTCCCACCACCACCAGGTATGATCCTCCCACCACCACTAGGTATGATCCTCCCACCACCACCAGGTATGATCCTCCCACCACCACCAGGTATGATCCTCCCACCACCACTAGGTATGATCCTCCCACCACCACCAGGTATGATCCTCCCACCACCACCAGGTATGATCCTCCCACCACCACCAGGTATGATCCTCCCACCACCACCAGGTATGATCCTCCCACCACCACCAGGTATGATCCTCCCACCACCACCAGGTATGATCCTCCCACCACCACCAGGTATGATCCTCCCACACCACCACCAGGTATGATCCTCCCACCACCACCAGGTATGATCCTCCCACCACCACCACCAGGTATGATCCTCCCACCACCACCAGGTATGATCCTCCCACCACCAGGTATGATCCTCCCACCACCACCAGGTATGATCCTCCCACCACCACCAGGTATGATCCTCCCACCACCAGGTATGATCCTCCCACCACCACCAGGTATGATCCTCCCACCACCACCAGGTATGATCCTCCCACCACACCAGGTATGATCCTCCCACCACCACCAGGTATGATCCTCCCACCACACCAGGTATGATCCTCCCACCACCACCAGGTATGATCCTCCCACCACCACCAGGTATGATCCTCCCACCACCACTAGGTATGATCCTCCCACCACCACTAGGTATGATCCTCCCACCACCACCAGGTATGATCCTCCCACCACCACCAGGTATGATCCTCCCACCACCACCAGGTATGATCCTCCCACCACCACCAGGTATGATCCTCCCACCACCACCAGGTATGATCCTCCCACCACCACCAGGTATGATCCTCCCACCACCACCAGGTATGATCCTCCCACCACCACCAGGTATGATCCTCCCACCACCACCAGGTATGATCCTCCCACCACCACCAGGTATGATCCTCCCACCACCACCAGGTATGATCCTCCCACCACCACTAGGTATGATCCTCCCACCACCACCAGGTATGATCCTCCCACCACCACCAGGTATGATCCTCCCACCACCACCAGGTATGATCCTCCCACCACCACCAGGTATGATCCTCCCACCACCACCAGGTATGATCCTCCCACCACCACCAGGTATGATCCTCCCACCACCACCAGGTATGATCCTCCCACCACCACCAGGTATGATCCTCCCACCACCACCAGGTATGATCCTCCCACCACCACCAGGTATGTTCCTCCCACCACCACCACCAGGTATGATCCTCCCACCACCACCAGGTATGATCCTCCCACCACCACCACCAGGTATGATCCTCCCACCACCACCAGGTATGATCCTCCCACCACCACCAGGTATGATCCTCCCACACACCACCAGGTATGATCCTCCCACCACCACCAGGTATGATCCTCCCACCACCACCAGGTATGATCCTCCCACCACCACCAGGTATGATCCTCCCACCACCACCAGGTATGATCCTCCCACCACCACCAGGTATGATCCTCCCACCACCACCAGGTATGATCCTCCCACCACCACCAGGTATGATCCTCCCACCACCGCCAGGTATGATCCTCCCACCGCCAGGTATGATCCTCCCACCACCGCCAGTATGATCCTCCCACCACCGCCAGGTATGATCCTCCCACCACCAGGTATGATCCTCCCCCACCACCAGGTATGATCCTCCCACCACCACCAGGTATGATCCTCCCACCACCGCCAGGTATGATCCTCCCACCACCCCAGGTATGATCCCCACCACCACCAGGTATGATCCTCCCACCACCACCAGGTATGATCCTCCCACCACCGCCAGGTATGATCCACCACCACCACCAGGTATGATCCTCCCACCACCACCAGGTATGATCCTCCCACCACCCCAGGTATGATCCTACCACCACCACCAGGTATGATCCTCCCACCACCACCAGGTATGATCCTCCCACCACCACCAGGTATGATCCTCCCCACCCTGACCTCCACCACACCAGGTATGATCCTCCCACCACCACCAGGTATGATCCTCCCACCACCACCAGGTATGATCCTCCCACCACCACCAGTATCCCACCAACCAGGTATGATCCTCCCACCACCACCAGGTATGATCCTCCCACCACCACCAGATGACCTCCCACCACCACCAGGTATGATCCTCCACCACCACCAGGTATGATCCTCCCACCACCACCAGGTATGATCCTCCCACCACCACCAGGTATGATCCTCCCACCACCACCAGGTATGATCCTCCCACCACCACCAGGTATGATCCTCCCACCACCACCAGGTATGATCCTCCCACCACCACCAGGTATGATCCTCCCACCACCACCAGGTATGATCCTCCCACCACCACCAGGTATGATCCTCCCACCACCACCAGGTATGATCCTCCCACCACCACCAGGTATGATCCTCCCACCACCGCCAGGTATGATCCTCCCACCGCCAGGTATGATCCTCCCACCACCGCCAGGTATGATCCTCCCACCGCCAGGTATGATCCTCCCACCACCACCAGGTATGATCCTCCCACCACCACCAGGTATGATCCTCCCACCACCACCAGGTATGATCCTCCCACCACCGCCAGGTATGATCCTCCCACCACCGCCAGGTATGATCCACCACCACCACCAGGTATGATCCTCCCACCACCACCAGGTATGATCCTCCCACCACCGCCAGGTATAATCCACCACCACCACCAGGTATGATCCTCCCACCACCACCAGGTATGATCCTCCCACCACCGCCAGGTATGATCCTCCCACCACCACCACCAGGTATGATCCACCACCAGGTATGATCCTCCCACCACCACCAGGTATGGCCCTCCCACCACCAGGTATGGCCCTCCCACCACCAGGTATGGCCCTCCCACCACCAGGTATGATCCTCCCACCACCAGGTATGGCCCTCCCACCACCAGGTATGGCCCTCCCACCACCAGGTATGGCCCTCCCACCACCAGGTATGGCCCTCCCACCACCAGGTATGGCCCTCCCACCGCCAGGTATAACCCCCCCCCCCGCGCCCCACAACCAGTTATGACCCTCCACTCTTATTTTGTCTTTCACGTTAGTTCGCTTTTAACGAACTTAATTACGAAAATAAGTTTGATGTTTTCTTTTTCGGTAATGTTTCTCCTTACATTAGATACTTTTGTGTCCATATGCAGCAAAATTTTCAAAATCTAATTCTTACATTTGTATTTATCTGGCTTGTTTGAACCTCAGGCGAGTGTCTGGTTTTCCATTTACCTTGCAAGCGTTATGTAAATTATAATGTTATGATTTATCTTATTTAAAAAAATTTGTTCTATTTTCGCATGTTGCAGACCTTCATGTGTGTTTATATCTTACGTGTGTAATATTTTCCCACACCAGCAGGGTATGAGCGTGAGTGGTGGTGGTGGTGGCAGCACCACCAGGAAGGCGCGTTCTTCCTACACATTCCAACAGTTGCAGCAGCTCAACCGGCGCTTCCTGCGCTCTATGTATCTGGCACAGCACGAGCGAGGAGAGCTGGCCTCGATGGTAGGACTCTCACAGACACAAGTGAGTGGAGGTTTCATGGGACGGGGAGGGGGTCTTCTTTTATTTCCCCCTCTACCATTTTTTTTTTCTTGCCTCTATGCTTTTCCTTGGCCTAGCTCAAGCGTGTAGCTTTTTATTGCATCAGGGAAAGTCAGTTGAGGGATTTTTTCCTACCCAGTGCCTCGACCAGTAGCAGGGATGAGGGTTTGTCTGAAGTACAGTAGCCAGAAAAATGTCTGCTTCAAAGATGCGGTTTCGGTTCGGCGGTTTAAAAGGAAAATTGGGTAGTGCTCTTGTAAACAAATTTGCCGACCCTTGATGTACACCCTCTAACCATGTTTACCTTGAAGAATAACCCACAGTACCGTGCCGAACTATTCCCAACTAACCCGCAATACCGTGACTGAAACTATTTACAATTAACCCATAGTACCGTGGCTGAAACATGTCACAGCTAATCCACAAATTTGGGGTAATTGTGAACGTGGACTGGCGAAAACGTGAACACTGAGTAAGGTGTCGCAGTGTGTGTGGGTGGGCACTGGCTCCTGTGAGTGAGTGTTGTAGCTGGAGGCAGACTCTTGTACGAGGGTGGGGAAGTGCCATATCTGTGGAGGCAGATAAGACTTTATAGCGAGGAAACTGTAAAACTCATCTAGAACAACACATACTGTGAAGATGTGTGGAGGTGATAGGTAAGAAGCACATGATATGCGTCCAGGAACAATTAACACGTCTGTTGCTGCTAGTCGCGTGGGCCCTGTTGTGAGGGAAGCTGGCTTCTGTTACCAGTTGTCAAGACCTCGGTTGTTACCAGTTTGGGGTCTGCTTCTACGATGTTCTCACCTCGGGATACTTTAATGCTAAATGGACCAGTGTAATGTGCATGAGTATAATAGTAATAATCTAGCCCTTGTGTAACACGAGGGACTTGTTACGGAAGGGACCCTGTTAGCAGCCACCACTTATTTTGGAGGTATTAGCCACAATTCTACTTGAAACAATAAATCCTGTAGTCACATAGCAGTTCAGTAGTTGTTGCTTTGCTCACTGTCAATCTTTCCACGTTTTCTGTTTTTTTCCTCAGAATGTATATTCTTTATTTTAAATTCGAGTAAGTTAGTCTAGGTTAGGTATGGTTACGTAAAATTACAAGAATGTTTTTAACCACAAATAAACAAATTAGAAAAACACTCCGTGATACATCTGGCAACAAGGCGGTCGAAGAAGAAAATGTAGGATACAGCCGGTTCGTTGAAAAAAAAAAAAAAAATATCGGTGGCAGGGCGAGGCGTGTTTTCTCCTGAGCGCTCAAAACAATTGGAGAATAGGTTGCTTCATTAGAGGAATTGAGAAGACTTGGTCATGAGGATACTAGTGCAAGTGATAACTTTATTTAGAAGTTAATTTATGTTTACCTTGTTTAACATTAAGTAATTTGCACATCTGGTGAAGATAGTCACATGCGAGTCATAACTTTTATTTGCTTAATTTGCTTGGCTTTTTTAATGTATATTTCTTGCAAAAACTGTGTTCCCTTCCCATTTTCTCTTATTGTCTCTTCTCCTCCGTCTCTCTCTCTCTCACTCCCGTCTCTCTTCCCTCCGTCTCTCCCTCTCTCTTCCCGTCTCTCTCTCTCCCGTCTCTCTCTCTCCGTCTCTCTCTCTCCCGCTCTCTCTCTCCCGTCTCTCTCTCTCCGTCTCTCTCTCTCCGTCTCTCTCTCCCCGTCTCTCTCTCTCCCGTCTCTCTCTCTCCCGTCTCTCTCTCTCCCGTCTCTCTCTCTCCCGTCTCTCTCTCTCGCTCTCCTCTCTCTCTCCCGTCTCTCTCTCCCGTCTCTCTCTCCCCGTCTCTCTCTCCCGTCTCTCTCTCCCGTCTCTCTCTCCCGTCTCTCTCTCCCGTCTCTCTCTCCCGTCTCTCTCTCCCGTCTCTCTCTCCCGTCTCTCTCTCCCGTCTCTCTCTCCCGTCTCTCTCTCCCGTCTCTCTCTCCCGTCTCTCTCTCCCGTCTCTCTCTCCCGTCTCTCCTCCCTCTCTCTCTCTCTCTCTCCCCTCTCTCTCTCTCTCTCTCTCTCTCTCTCTCTCTCTCTCTCTCTCTCTCCTCTCTCTCTCTCCTCTCTCTCCTCTCTCTCTCTCTCTCTCTCCCTCCCTCCCTCCCTCCCTCCCCTCCCCATCTCCCACTTCATATAACTTCTCCCCCCTCCCTCCCCACCAAGTCTTCCACTGTGACAAGACAATGTACGTGTTAGAGACACAAGTTGATGGAAGACATACACTTCCAGTAATCACTTGGTGTACCGGTCATTGTTTTACCAGTAGTGTCGTCTCCCCCCATCCCTTTTCTCTCTCTCCCGTCCCCATCGACTCGTCTCAACCCTACAGTACCTCACTTCCCATGTTCCACCTCCCTTTCCTCCTCCACTTTTCCTCAATGAATGTCTTGAATTTTTCTTAAGTTCCATTATCCACACAAGACTTCTATTGTTTGTTGCAAATTATTTCTCATGTTAATTTTTGAAACAAAAATAGAAGGGGAAGTTGTATCATACCTCTGAAACAAAAAATCAATAAATATACTTATCAAGCTCTCTCGATGCTAGTAAAGAGCTCTTCGTCCGAAGAGTCCTTCGGGTCAAAGCTGATTATCTCCCATTTCTCAGGCACTATTTGACCCCTACAGATTTATTGCTAATTGCCAGTACGCACCTAGTTAAGTTTGCGGGGGTTGTCTCAGCTTCTGGTTATGCCTTAAACTTTAATCAACACCATTACTGGTAACTAGCCTCAAAGATCTTATCGTACCTACTCTTAAAACTGTTTTACCTGGAGAGAGTTCCGGGGGTCAACGCCCCCGCGGCCCGGTCTGTGACCAGGCCTCCTGGTGGATCAGAGCCTGATCAACCAGGCTGTTACTGTTGCCTGCACGCAAACCAACGTACGAGCAACAGCCCGGCTGGTCAGGAACCGACTTTAGGTGCTTGTCCAGTGCCAGCTTGAAGACTGCCAGGGGTCTGTTGGTAATCCCCCTTATGTATGCTGGGAGGCAGTTGAACAGTCTCGGGCCCCTGACACTTATTGTATGGTCTCCTAACGTGCTAGTGACACCCCTGCTTTTCATTGGGGGGATGTTGCATCGTCTGCCAAGTCTTTTGCTTTCGTAGTGAGTGATTTTCGTGTGCAAGTTCGGTACTAGTCCCTCGAGGATTTTCCAGGTGTATATAATCATGTATCTCTCTCGCCTGCGTTCCAGGGAATACAGATTTAGGAACCTCAAGCGCTCCCAGTAATTGAGGTGTTTTATCTCCGTTATGTGCGCCGTGAAGGTTCTCTGTACATTTTCTAGGTCAGCAATTTCACCTGCCTTGAAAGGTGCTGTTAGTGTGCAGCAATATTCCAGCCTAGATAGAACAAGTGACCTGAAGAGTGTCATCATGGGCTTGGCATCCCTAGTTTTGAAGGTTCTCATTATCCATCCTGTCATTTTTCTAGCAGATGCGATTGATTCAATGTTATGGTCCTTGAAGGTGAGATCCTCCGACATGATCACTCCCAGGTCTTTGACGTTGGTGTTTCGCTTTATTTTGTGGCCAGAATTTGTTTTGTACTCTGATGACGATTTAATTTTCTCGTCTTTGCCATATCTGAGTAATTGAAATTTCTCATCGTTAAACTTCATATTGTTTTCTGCAGCCCACTGAAAGATTTGGTTGATGTCCGCCTGGAGCCTTGCAGTGTCTGCAATGGAAGACACTGTCATGCAGATTCGGGTGTCATCTGCAAAGGAAGACACGGTGCTGTGGCTGACATCCTTGTCTGTGTCAGATATGAGGATGAGGAACAAGATGGGAGCAAGTACTGTGCCTTGTGGAACAGAGCTTTTCACCGTAGCTGCCTCGGACTTTACTCTGTTGACTACTACTCTCTGTGTTCTGTTAGTGAGGAAATTATAGGTCCATCGACCGACTTTTCCCGTTATTCCTTTAGCACGCATTTTGTGCGCTGTTACGCCATGGTCACACTTGTCGAAGGCTTTTGTCTTCTAGTACATCTAGGACCTTGTCGTAGTGATCCAATAGTTGAGACAGACAGGAGCGACCTGTTCTAAACCCATGTTGCCCTGGGTTGTGTAATTGATGGGTTTCTAGATGGGTGGTGATCTTGCTTCTTAGGACCCTTTCAAAGATTTTTATGATATGGGATGTTAGTGCTATCGGTCTGTAGTTCTTTGCTGTTGCTTTACTGCCCCCTTTGTGGAGTGGGGCTATGTCTGTTGTTTTTAGTAACTGTGGGACGACCCCCGTGTCCATGCTCCCTCTCCATAGGATGGTAAAAGCTCGTTCTTGATGAACACGGAGTTCCATGAGTCTGGCCCTGGGGCAGAGTGCATGAGCATGTCATTTATCGCCTGTTCGAAGTCATTTGGCGTCAGGATAACATCAGATAGGCTTGTGTTAACCAAATTCTGTGGCTCTCTCATAAAAAATTCATTTTGATCTTCGACTCTGTCTGGTTAACGACTTGCTAAAAACTGAGTCATATTGGGACTTGAGTAGCTCACTCATTTCCTTGCTGTCATCTGTGTAGGACCCATCTTGTTTAAGTAGAGGCCCAATACTGGACGTTGTTCTCGACTTTGATTTGGCATAGGAGAAGAAATACTTTGGGTTTCTTTCGATTTCATTTATGGCTTTTAGTTCTTCCCGCGATTCCTGACTCCTATAAGATTCCTTTAGCTTAAGTTCGATGCTTGCTATTTCTCTGACCAGTGTCTCCCTACGCCTTTCAGATATATTGACCTCTTTTAGCCGCTGTTATTCTTTTCCGTCGCCTGTAAAGGGAGCGCCTGTCCCTTTCTATTTTACATCTACTACTCCTTTTTCTTAGAGGAATAAGCCTTGTGCATACATCGAGCGCCACCGAGTTAATCTGTTCTAGGCATAAGTTGGGGTCTGTTTATTAGTATATCTTCCCAGCTTATATCAGTTAGGATTTGGTTTACTTGGTCCCACTTTGTTTTTGTTATTGAA